TACATAATTCAACTTATTATTAATTTTTATTCACTACATAAAAATTGCATTGAGTGCTATTTTAAAATCGAATATTTAATTATTTTTTTCTTATAATATTGTTAAATTAAAATGTATTGCTATAATATTATACTTYGGGGATGATACAATAATCATAGGTTATACTAATGGATAATATAATTTAGTATGATTTGGCTATACTCTATGTTGGTTTACACATGAATGCATGATGTGTGTAAATAATGACATAATTAGAGGGGAGATTTGGGTATTGTATCCTCCCAATACTTTTTTTTTTTAATGGCAAATAATATTTAAGTAAGTATAAGGTACTTAATTATCTATAAATATTATTATTTATATATATTCAGTATATTATTATATAGATGTATAGATTTAACTCGATCAGGGGTCAGGAATCATTTCGTAGGAAAGAGTCATGTTTTAAAAAAAAAAGTTACTAAACCATGTCTAGAGGAGTCGTACATGCAGACTGTTCGGTCCGGGAACCAAAAGAACTTTTTTTTGTAGTCGTAGCTGTAGTATTTTTCCATTTAAAAAAAAACACAATTTATATTTTACGGGTCTCGATATATTCTTGCATTTTTCAAAGAGCCACAGATTATACATGTTAAAGAACCAYATGGCGATTCCAGAGCCGCAGGTTTCTAACCTCTGTACTAGATGTATAGTCATATTTGTTATTTGTATACTTAATTTAAGTGAATGCAATACACTTTGATATAAATAATTGTTACCTTATATAAATAAGGTAATATCTTATATTTTGTATTCCCAATTTATCTATTTACAGTACAAGTATAAAACTTTAAAAAAAAAAAACATTTATGATTCTTCAAAACGTATGTGATACCAAAATACAACTTAAAAAGTATACATGTGTATTAATCATTCGGAAATTGAGCAAAATCATTATTTATAATAAGTAAATATTTTAAAATATAATAATAACAATTACATGTACATAAGTATATAATAATCACAAACAGGTATAAAACTTAATTAATAACACAATAATTATTATAATATATTTTTTAATTTGTATGTGTATAAATCATAAAATCATAAATTATATGTATGTGTGTATATATAATATACATATATTTATGTTATACTTAAAATATTTATTTATGAACAGTATAAAGAATCATAGATGGATGGGTAAATTATCATAAATAAATATCTGAATAAAAATTTTTTTTAAATATTATCAAAATATTCAATACCTATATAGTCCATAGATAATTTTTAGCTGTTCATATAGTGTAGATAGTTTGTGAAATGTTTTAATTTTTAATATAACAACACAAACTTGTGCGTGATTGGAAATATTGGAAAACACATCATGACCGTCATGTAGTACATATCAATAAATACACAAATGCCAGATGAGCATTTATAGTTTCATTGAATTTTTATTCAAATCTTGTTTATCTTACTCATTGTCCAGAATTCCAGATACGTGAGATTTTTTTATCACATAGTACATAATATAGTAAACTGTGCATGCCTCCATGGGTTAATGGTAATTTATAAACATATTATCTATACGTAAGCACTGATACATTGGTTCCTCATTCGAAAACAATAATTATATAACTATAATAGTTAATATAATATTATGTATTATAAACACATTGTATGATCTACTTGGACAGATAAGATAAGGACATATAAGGCCTATGCTCATTATTTTTATTTTTCACACATTCTATAGCTATACATAATACATATATTATACTGTACCTACAGTTTAGTTACAGTTTTAAATTTGATTTTAAATATTATTATTTTTTTATTTATTGAGTAAAAAATTATGTTCATACTAGTCGCTTTCATCTTCTTCATCAGTACTATCACTATTACTTTTCCATTCTTTGTCCCACTCTTGGTAAAAATTGTCTTCCCTCATATATTGATTCCATTCGACATGTGGGAAATTAGGATCGAAATCGTAATCTCTCAAATATTCAAGAAGATCTATTCCATTATTACTGATTGAACATTGATAAAGCCGTAAACGCAACATCTCCTCTTTGGAAAACTATTCAATTCACAATACAAAAATATATGAGATAAGTAGGTAAATATTGTAAAATCTATAATTATAGAGGTAAATAAAAATTGGGTTTTATCAGCTGAGAGCACCCCCCGGTGTCGAGTGCACCTCATTATTGAATAGGTAACTGACTATACGTGCAGCTGTAGTAAATATTTTAAATTTTAAAATTCAATGTTAAATCATTATTCACGAAAAATACAATTTTGAGTGTAGACGGCCTAGCTATCTGTTAGCATATAAATTTATATTATTTATGATGTCTTCTGCAAAAAAATTCATGATTGTTTTGTTTATATGGCTACTAATATTGCGTTAGTTTTGTGCGAAGAATAAAAGAAGAGTAACACGATTTTATACAAATTTGTAAACTTAAAATTAATGTCAATCAGGCGCGGATCCAGGAATATTTTTTTGGGTGGGCCCATAAATTTAACCACAAAAGATTATACAGTGAAGTTAAAATTTAATCAAGAATAATTTTCATTTAGTTATAAATATTTAAATAAATAGTCCAGTACTATTAATAGCTAATAAAAAAAATTATTGAGTTACATGGGAAAATACGTCCATGAAGTTGGCCCTTATTCTTATTTAAAACAAGTTAAAAAATTTTGCAAGTAATTAACAAGAATTTGCAAGTCCAATCTCAGAATTTGCAAGTCAATAATAAACCAATTATTAGGGGTGGAAGCAAATAAGGGCTAACTTCCCGCAGCCCTTTCTTGTTATCCGAAACATTCGAAACCAGAGTCAAAACACTCGTTATAATTAGCAAGAATTTGCAAGTCCACTCCCAAAATTTGCAAKTTAAAAACMTCACCCCTACGAATTTTCAAAGTTTTAACCTCAGCACTTACTTTTTGTCCGAAACATTCGAAACCAGTGTCAAAACACTCGTTATAATTAGCAAGAATTTGCAAGTCCACTCCCGAAATTTGCAAATCATAAATTTCACCCCTACGAATTTTCAAGGATTTTACCCAGCCTAGGATAAAATATTTTTAAATGCATTCTTAGTTATTATTGATAAACA